TTCTAATTTTAATACACTGTGGTCTGAAAAAAAATACATGGGATAATTCCAATTTTTTGAATTTGTTGAGACTTGCTTTGTGACCTAACATGTGATCTATCCTGGAGAATGATCCATGTGTTGATGAGAAGAATGAATATTCTGAGGTTGTTGGATGGAATGTTCTGTAGATATCTACCAAGTCCAATTGGTCTAGAGTGTTGTTTAGCTCTTGTGTTTCTCTGCTGATTCTTTGCCTAGATGATGTGTCCAATATTGATAGTGGGGTGTTCAGGTTTCCTGCTATTATGGTGTTAGTGTCTGTTTCCTTCTTTAGGTCTAATAGGGTTTGCTTTATAAATCTGGCTGCTCTTACATTGGGTGTGTATGTATTTATGATTGTTATGTCTTCTTGATGGATAGATCCTTTTATCATAATGTAGTGGCCCTCAGTATCTCTTTTTATGGTTTTTAGTTTAAAGTCTATATTATCAGATATAAGAATAGCTACTCCCACTCATTTTTCATTTCTGTTTGCATGGTAAAGCTTTTTACATCCTTTTACTCTTAGTCTGTGTGATTCTTTATAGGTGAGGTGGGCCTATTGAAGGCAGCATATAGTTGGGTCCTCCTTTTCTGTTTGGGGAATTTAATCTTTTTTCATTAAGAGTTGTTATTGAAAAGTGTTGATTTACTCCTAGCATTTTATTGGTTTTTATTTGGATGTCTTAGGTGTCTTTTGTTCCTTTCTTTCTGATTTACTATTTTTCTTCTGTATTTGTTGGTTTCTTGGGTTGTAGATAAACTTTTTTTTTCTGTCTCTTCATTGTTGGCATTTTTTTTTTTTTACCAGTGTGTTTTGATTTTTCTTGAATTTTTATGGCAGTGGTACTTATTTTTCAGGTAGCAAACCCAGGAATCCCTTGAGAATTTCTTGTAAGGGTGGTTGTGTGGTAGTAAACCCCAGCAGTTTTTGTTTGTCTGAGAAATATACTATTTGCCCTTCATTTCAGAAGGATAGCCTTGCAGGGTAAAGTATTCTTTGCTGGCAATACCTTTCTTTTAATATTTTGAATATATCATCCCATTCCTTTCTGGATTTTAGGGTTTGTGATGAAAAGTCTGATGTTAGTCTGATTGGGGCTCCCTTATAGGTGACTTGATGCTTTTCTCTTGCAGCTTTTAAGATTCTCTCTTTATCTTTGAGTTTTGCCAATTTGACTATAACATGTCTTGGAGAAGACCTTTTTGGTTTGAATACGTTTGGGGATCTTTGAGCTTCCTGAATCTGAAGATCTGTGTCTTTTCTATACCTGAGAAGTTTTCTGCCACTATTTTGTTGAATATGTTTTCAATGCACTCTCCTTTTTCCTCCCCTTCTGGCATACCCATGACTTGGATATTTGAGTCCTTAAAGTCATCTGATATCTCTCTTAGATTTTCTTCAATGTTTTTAATTCTTTTTTTTTTTTCTTTGTCTGCCTGTGTTATTTCAAACAGCCCATCTTCAAGGTCAGAAGTTCTCTCTTCTGCTTCTGCAAGCCTGCTGGTTAAACTCTCTGTTCTGTTTTTTTATTTCATTGAATGAATTCTTCAGCTTGACATGCTCTGCTATATATTCTTTTTCAGGGCATTGATTTCCTTGTACATTTCTTCTTTCAGGTCCTGTATACTTTTCCTCATTTCATCATGTTGTCTTGCTGAGTTTTCTTGTGTCTCATTTAGTTTCCTTAGAATTATCACTCAAAATTCCTTGTCAGACATTTAAGGGGCTTCTTGTTCTATAGGATCTAGAGCTTGAGAGTTATTACCCTTTGGTTGTGTACTTTCTTGACTTTTCATATTTCTGGTATCTTTTCTTTGATGTTTAGCCATTGTGGCAAGGGATTTCATGGTTCACTGGTTCGACACTATTGTCTGGCTAGGATGCTGCTGGGGCTGCCATTTTGGCACAGCTGCCTCAGTACCTGCTTGGTTGTGTGCTGGTTCCTTGGGCATGTGGTCGCTGTGGGTCTTGGGTCTCTCTGGAGTGGTGCCTCTCTGGTCAGTGCACACTTGGCTGGGCTGGGGATGGAGTCTGGCGGTGGCAAGGCCTACCTGCTCAGTCGCATGCTGGCACCATAGGACTCGGGCCTCTCTGGGGAGTCGCCTCTGTGGTCTGAAAAATTTTTTTAAGTACAGGGAATGAAGATAAAACTATAACAAAATTGTGTGGGATGAATCAGTACTGAGAGAAAAATTTATGCAGTAAATGTTGATGTTAGAAAAGAGGGAAAGATCTCAAATTAATTATCGAAGTTTCTACCTTTAGAAACTATGAAGACAAGAGCAAAGCAAACCCAAAGCAAGCAGAAGGAAGGAATTAATAAAGATAACCAGAAATCAATGAAATTGCAAACAGGGAAATGATAGAGAATATCAGTGAAACAAAAAGCAGATTTTATAACAGCAGTAAAATTGATAAACTTCTAGGAAGACTGACAAGGATGAAAAGAGAAAAGATACAAATTAGCAGTAACAAGAATAAAACAGGAGATATCACAAATATAGGACAATAAAGAAATATGAACAACTTTTTGCTCATAAATTCAAAAACTTAAAAGAGACCAATTCCTCAAAATCTCAAAATTACAAAACATAATTAAGATGAAACTGAGAACTTGCATAGTCCTATAGCGATTAAAGAAATTAGATCTGAAATTTTAGAGATTTTCAAAAAGAAATCTTCAAACCCAGATGGTTTCACTGGGGAATTTTGCAAACATTTAAAAAATTAACACTAATTTAGCACAGTCTTATCCAGAAAGTAGTAGAGGAAGGAACACTCCCCAATTCATTTTATGAATCTAGTATTATTACCCTGATACTAAAAACAGACAAAAACAATATTAAAACAAAACAAAAATCCTACAGACCAGTATTTCTCATAAATTTAGATACAAAAATCCTCAACAAAATAGTATATCTAATTCAGCATGTGTTAAAAGAATTCTATAATGACCAATTTGGATTTATTTCAGGTATGCAAGGTTGATTCAACATTCAAACATCCATGTGTAATTTATCATATCAACAGGAGAAAAATCATAGGATCACATCAATTCATACATAAAAAAAGACTTAGACAAAATCCAACACCAATTTATGATTACAGCTCTCTAGGAAACTAGGAAAAGAGAACTTACTCAATTTAATAACCATCATCTAAAAAACCTACAGCTAACACCGTACTTGATGATGAAAAAGTGAATGCTTTCCCTCTATGGTCAGGAACAAGGATGTCCAGTTTCATCACTCTCATTCAGCATACTCCGGGAAGGTGAAGCCACTGCAATAAGGCTAGAAAAAGAAATAAAAGGCATACAGATTACAAAGGAAGAAATAAAGCTGTCTCTATTTGCAGATGACTTGATTGTCTACAGACAATATTCCATAAAATAAAAAAGACTTCCTAGAACCAAGAGGTTAGCTCAGCAAGGTCACAGGATAGAAGATCAACACACAAAAATCAATCATACTGGAACATGTGGAAGCCAAATTTAAAACTAAAAGTAAAAACACAATACCATTTACAGTTGCTCCAAAATAACTACTTAGGTATAAACATAAGTAAACATGTACAGGATCTGTATGCTGAATATTACAAAATGCTAATGAAAAAAATCAAAGAAGACCTGCACAAATTGAGAGACATCCCATTTTTATGGACTGAAAGACAGCATAGTAAAGATGATGTCGCTTCTCCCCAAATTGATTTATAGCTTTAAATCAAGTCCTATCAAAATCCCAGCAAAATATTTTGTAAACATATACAAGCTTATTCTAAATATATATATATATATATATATGGAAAGGAACAGGCCCTAGGATAGCTGAAAGAATCTTGAAAAAGAAGAATAAAGTAGGAGGAATCACCTTATTGGATATGAAGTCCAACTATTTTGCTACAGTAATCAAGATGGTGTGGTATCGGTGTGGGGTTAGACACTTAGATCAATGGAACAGCATAGAGAACCTAGAAATTGACCCACACAAATACACCCAACTAATTTTCAAAAAATTTTATTATAAATTATACAGAACATAAAAATTATGTTTTAACCATTTTTTAGGGTACAGTTCAGTAGCACTAAGTACATTCATATTGTTGTGTAACCATCACAACCATCTATCTCCAGAACGTTTTTTTCATATTGTTGTGTAACCATCACAACCATCTATCTCCAGAACGTTTTTTATCATCCCACACTGAGACTCTGTACTGATTCCTCCCTGCCCCTAGCCACTAGTAATCACTCTTCTACTTTCTTTCTCTATAAATTTGCCTATTCTAGTAACTGATTTTTGACAAAAGTACAAAAGCAATGCAATAGAAGAAAGATAGCCTTTTCAACAAAAGTTTAATTAAACTAAGATGGTAGGCATTTTTCTCCTTCTTTAGAGAGGTGGGGACAATCTTTTTAAAGTAACCGACCTAAAAGTCATTCCTGAATTAGAGTGGAGATCAGCAATGGTCTTTCAAACTCTTCTACCGCAGCATTCTAGTCTGGGGTGAAAAAATTAAACCGGGCAACTATCTTCTCTGATTTGCTTTTTTTTTAGGCCAGTAATTTGCAATGAAGTCAACCTTAGATAGTTTGCAAAGCATAAGGCAAGCTTAGAAATGTGGCATTAGGGCCGGCCCGGTGGCGCACTGGAGAGTGCGGCGGCGCTTCCGCTGAGGGTTCGGATCCCATGTGGAGACCGGTTCCTGCTCACTGGCTGAGCGCGGTGCAGGCGCAACACCGAGGGTTGCGATCCCGTTGCCGGTCCCCAGTACGTGCGCGACACCAAGGGTTGTGATCCCATTACCGGTCAGTAAAAAAGACAAAAAGGAAAAAAAAGAAATGTGGCATTAGCTGAGGAGAGAATGCCATTAAATTTTTGGCAAATATAGAGATGAAGCCTGACCTTTTTGTAACTGAGTCATGTGGCCTGTGACAAAGCATATTGAACATCCAGCTGCTCCTTGGCCAGCCTCGATGTGTCATAACAGTTATCTCCCTAAAACGGAGCTGGCAGTTGTGGATAGAATGGGCTGTATGTTGTCCCAGGTCATCAGAGTGTCCCATCTTGGTTTGGAATAGTCCCCTCTTCTCTGAACCTCAGCTGCTTGTCTGTGTCAAACAGAAAAAAACAACTGTTTTTGTCATAATTTCAGTTGTAATAAGGTTTTTGTGGGTGTATTTATTTCATCAAGCAGAGTGAATTTGTTGCCCTGTTGTTTAATATGAAAATTAACTTCAGATCATGAAAGAAAATTAAAATTATATTGCTGTCTCATTATTTTTAGTCATGGTTCATCAGAACACATTAAGATTCAGAACCAAAGATTATAAGAAATTGGAGGAAATATAGGTAAGCATTCTTTAATAATCTCTACTCCTAAATTCTCTGATGACTCTAAAAGAAACATGTTGCTGTTATTGTAAAGGTATTTTTCACAAGTTTCTTAAATAAAAATTCAAAATCCGTAAGTTTTTGTTGTTTTGGGTTTTTTTTAAATCTAATGTAAGAATAGCTGATGACTTTTCTAAAATATTCTCAAAATTTAAATGAGAATATTTTAATGTTGGTACGGAGTAGTTTTTGTTCTTTTAATAGTGACTCAAAATTGGAAAGTCTCTTTCTGGAGAGTCATGTAAAACAAAGACGAGGACATCATAAGAACTTTCAGAGGCATGATGCCCTTTTTGTCTAACTTCCTTCTCCCATCCCACGTTTATTCCTCCTACTTCCCTGGCAGTGGGGGGGGAGGAGGGTTGTCAAAAGAAAATTCCCCCTGCCTGGGCCTGTGGGTGTCCTCGCAGCCGATGCCCTGCACGGTCTCCCGTGCTCTGCTGGTGCCTGCGTCCTCTCTTGCCCAGTCCCGCTCTGTCCGTGCCTCAATTCTCTCCTGCATTGGCAGCTTTTTTCTCCCAACTGCATCGTTTCCGTGGGCACACGAAATGTTGGTCTTTTCTCTCATCTTCGCAAAAGTCTCTCCTGACCCCCTGCAACTCTACTCCCATTTCTCTGTTCCTCTTCCCCACTCTCTCTGGAAACCACTCCCAGGGAGCCTGGCCCCTCTGCACTTTCCAGGGTCGCTTTCGTTGAGCTCAGCAGGTAACTCACAGGCCGTGAAATTCAATCGCTCACCCTGTCTGCCTGGGTTATTTTTTCCTTCTTGGAAAAACGCCCTCTTCACCTGATTTTGAGGACTACCTAACCTTCTGACTTCCCCACCTTCGCTGACTGCTCAGCTGAGTCTCTCTTGCCTGTGGCTTCTTGTCCTGTCGCTTGTCACCCTCTCAGCGCGGCAGAGCTGCGGGCCTCGATCCTTGGAGACGCTTCTCTGATGACACTTCAGTGCACCTGTGAGCGGATGCCTCTCAGATTTGTGCCCCAGACCTCCCCCTGAACACCAAACATGCGTTGCCTTGGGGCCTTTGCGTTTGCCTTCTCCCAGATGCTCTCCCTCCAGGTGTCCCTGGCCTCTTTCAGGTCTCCGCCCATGCATCACCTTCTCCATGAGGCCTCCCTGCTGCCTCACGTGCTTTCCATGCCTGGTTGTTCTCTAATGTTCTTATCACCGTCAGACTTACTCTACCTTACACTTGTTTATTTGCTACGTGCCTTTTGCTGCTTTTGGAATGAAAGTGCCCTGAGGGCAAGTGGTTTTTACTGTCACTGCAACCCCTAGGATCGTGCCTAGCACATATAACTCTCAATAAATATTTGATGAATGAACGAATTAAGCAAGCAAGCAAATCTTGGTAGTTTTGTTTGAAACCTCAATATACATTTGAGACTCACTGTCGATGAAGACTTTCAAATGTGTTTGCCCCACGGAATGATCTTGTTGTTGTTATTTCTGCTTATGAGCATTACTTCCACAGTACAGAAACAGAACGACTCTTCCTAACATGAACTTGATTTTCATCTTTTCTAGCCCTGGTCAAGGTACCATCTGTAAAACTGTTAGAGGACTGTATTAGCACGTAAATGGTTAGTTTATACTAGAGACATATTCTTGCAGTGTTTTTCTAATTGGTGTAGTGAAGCTAGGAAACAATTTAGCTGTGGTTGGTATGTCTGTTTTTTCCACAATTTCACATGAGATTTATTTAAAGTACTTCATAGTCTTTAAGAAAGAAAAAAGGGAGGAAGGAAACAAGGAAGAAAGGGAGGGAGACTTTGCTAAAAACTTTAAAATCCGTCAACTTACTTTTGGCTGAGAGAACTATATTGGTCTCATCTGAACCTTACAAACACACATGTACACAGACACGTGCACACACACAGAAGTGTGCACTCTTGAAAACATTCTTAGATTTTCTTTCTTTCAGGACAGCATTGCTTGGATCCAGATGCTTATATATTGGATGTATGTCATGGAAATCCTCAAGCAGAATGGGTGATTAAACCCCAACCAAGTCTTTGAGATTCTCCAAGATGACTGCTATTGCATATTAAATGCCAAGGAGATCCTACATTAGGTGGAGAAAAGGCCACACTGCTTTTGATGTGTTTGTTCCCACAATCCTGTTGGTGTTTCTGGCCTGAGTGGTGGTGTCTCCCAGCATCACCAACATGAACTATGGAAGAGGAGCAGGTTCACCATTTGAGCTGAAGCCTTCTCATGACATTTCCTTGATAAAAGTAAAAAGGATGTGATCCTTCAAGAAAAAAGTTCAGTCTAGAATATGGAGCTCTAATCATTTCTAGTATTTTGACTTCTCAGCAGAAATGAACTTGACCCTCTAACTGGGGATAAGCAACATGTCTCTTTGCAGCCAATGCTACCAAACACGAAGGGTGAAAGAGACCCTTTTTTATACTTATATACATATATATTGACCTTTTTGAGCAAGAATGTCAGAAATAGCCTTAATTTCTGCCCTGCAAAATAATCTAGATTTACCTTCCAAAGAGAACCAGTTTCCAAAGTGAAACATACAATATTTATGTTCTGACTTGCTCTTGAATTGGAGGAGGAAGAACTTCTCTTTAAAGAAAACTGTATTGTTATGTATGTCATACTGTATTGTGATTGTCAGCATTCTGGTGCAAATGAACATTTCTGTATCATTGACTGTTGAAAATTGTTATTTTTAGTTTGTTCTCTTATGAGCACAGGTCCCCCCAGTGAAGCTTATTTTAACAAAGGGTGCCTTATACTTTCATAACCTTCTTTGAGCCCTGTTTTCTCACCATGTTTATAGTGCTCAATGACTGTCCACGTGCCAGACACAGATTTCTTTTCCTGATCAAATATACCATTTTTTTATATTTCACAGCTGTAGATATTTACTTCTGCAGTCCCAATTTTAAAACACAGAACTGCTTTTCTCCAAGAGTCCTGAAAAATACTATTATACCCGGGTTTTATAAGCTGTAAAAGCAGATTTTGCTTTCATTCATTAATCATAGACATGGCTTAGCACTGTGGATTGGCTTTAGGCTTTAAAATCAGATGGATTTTTTGTAAGCTGAAAACTGTCAAGATCTCACAGAGCCATTTTCCAGACCTGCTACTGGCCAGAATACACAGTCCCCACATTTCTATTTTAGAGCAAATCTAAAATGTGCCAAGAGACTGGGCAGCTCTCCCTTTCATCCTCTGACTACAGATGTAGCCCATCTAGGGTTAGCTAGAAATGGGGACAGAGTTCTCAGTTATCCCAGATGTGTACTTTAGCTTGGAATCCACAGATAACTCTCTCTTGCAATTCAAACAATAGACAAAGTTGCTCACAAAAGCAGAAAAAAAAATTTGGGGAGGGGTCTATTTACCAAATCTCAAAACATAATGTGATAATATTTTAAGCATGTATTTAGAAGAAGTCTTTTATATGCTATGTTATGCCTTGATGTCTATACAAAATATTGCCTGTATTCAACATGTAGATAATTGCATTTCTGGCCTTTAGGATTTTATTGTATTTTTATAGAAAACACAGTGATCCATTACTTTGATTTGTTTGGGAATTTTTATTTCCTTTGCCTGAAAACCCATTAGAAAGTATACATGCATTCTATAGGTTTATATTTATTCCTACATTTCACCAGTTTTCAAGTGTGGCTGATTGATGACATGTGAGTTCCCAGAGTTTAAAAAAAATGCTTTTATTATTTTTGCAATTCAAACAACAGGAGTAAACATCTTATTATATGTAGTTGCAGAGTCTCAAGGCATAAGATGGCAGTAATTTATGCCCATACGTGGGAGAAATTCTCCAAAGAGCTACCATACACACTTGCATGTTTATATGAAAACTGATTTTTCTCATTGTGTTTTCTCTAATTCCAGTAGTTATGTTCTGTTGTTTTCATATAGGTAAAACACAGATATGTTCATTTAAATTTTTATTTGGGAATTTTCACTTCTTTTGACTAAATGAAAACACATTAAAACCTATACATAAGTACTAAAGGCTTTAAGATTTACTCCAACTTGTGATCAGTTTTAAATGAATGGCTGATAGATGACACGTAAAATACAGTGTCTCCAAATTTTTTGTATTTTTATGTGGTTTTAGATGGAAACCTTTATGGGTAAAAGACAGTGTCTCCAAATTTTTTGTATTTTTATGTGGTTTTAGATGGAAAAGACTTAGCTGAGTCAATAACTTTAATCACTTCAATTTATTCAAGGATGTGTGACAACTTTCAAATAACTATATAGTATGGAAGGCCTTGTCAATACCAGTATCACTAGATATAGCTTTTATTCTTAGTCATAGGGTTAACTGTTTGATTAGAGAAGAATTTTTAGTAGACACACAGTCTAATATTTCTGTGGCTAAAAATGAATTTTGCTAATTTCATTCTTAAAGAATCCCCTGCAATTAAAACTCAAAAATGTCTGTCCCCTATGCATGTATTGAAAGAAACAACCCTATTAAGAGTTGTTTTAAAAAGTCCAGTAACCAGTCTGTAAAAATGAATAGTATATTTGCAAACAAAAGAAAGGTCATATATGGGGGCTTCTAAATGCTGTTCTTAATAGCGTCTCACCCTTACTCCATCCCAAGTGCTCTTGGTGTACAATTAAGAAAATAATATCCTTCAGGAAAGTATTAGAGGAAGTTAACATTTTAGGAACACGTCTTTGGAAAACCTCTTAGAGCTGGCTCATTTTTTCCTCCATTTTGCAAAAGAGGATTTCTTTGTTAAGCAGCTCACTTGGGGATACAATTTTTGGAGTCAGTGATCTTTGAACAAACTGGAATATTAATCCTTTACAATGAATATACAGCATAAACTACCTTACTTGCCTTTATTGGGAAAATATTACTGGACTTTAACAAGTTTTGTTGCAAACCATTCCTACATCTTATTAAGTCACTTCAGTTAGCTTTCAATGTACATTTAATAATATACATTTAATGATGTGAAATATTTTTAGAAAAGCTTGAAAACCAAAAAATACTCTGTGACTGTGATCTTTAGTATACTCTGAGAGAATTCGTGTCCCTTAGTCATTGTCTTATGTTTAACCATGTGGAGGTGCAGGTTTTTAGGAGTAGGGATTAATATTCATCTCTTCTTTCAGGCATTATCAATGGCTGCCCACGTGTTTCACTTGACTGAAAAGTAACATGAGATTAAAATGTCCCTTCCTAGCAAGCATATTTCAGCTGTTTTTACAAATGTTTTACTTGTCTGAAAAGACTATTTAATAAGGGATTAATAGTTCCTCTGACAGGCATTTTTCTACTGTTTTCCATAAATATGTCATTTACTAAAAAATAATGACATGGAAGTACATTCAAGTATTTTTAACAATTTTACACACACACACACACACACACACACACGGGAACATTGCAGGTACCCCTTGATAGGAGAATAAACTGTGGTATATTCATACATTGCAACGTTACTCAGTAATGAAAAGAAATAAACGGATATAGGAAACAACATACATGAATCTCAGAAACGATGCTGAGTGAAAGAGGCCAGATCAAAAGACTACATGCTGTAGGATTTCATTTATATGAGATGCTAGAACAGGTATGGATGGAAAATCAGAGCAATGGTTCCCTCTATGGGGGTGGGTATGGGAGTTGGAAGAGGCATTAGGGGCCTTTCTGGGGGATGGAAATATTCTACATGTGCAGAACACATTTCAGGTGCTCAAGTCTGAATTGAGATGTGTTCCAAGTTAAAATACACACCAAATTTTGAAGACTTACTGGGAAGAAAGAGTATAAATCATCTCATTAGTAATATTTTGCTATCCATCACTATTAAATTCTGATATTTTATATAATTGGCTTAACTAATATATTAGTAAAATTAATCTCAGCTACTAAAAAATTTAAAATTACATATGTGGCTTGCAATATTTCTATGGGACAGTGAGAGGGTTTGGGGGGTTACACAAATGTATGCATTTGTCAAAACATTGAGAGGCTTCCAGTCAAGATGGCAGAATAGACAGTCTCCAGCATCACTCTCTCCCACCAGTCAACCAAATTACAACTATTAAAAAGCAACACAGTCAAGCCAGGGCCACTAGATCTCAGAAGAAGAGGAGGAGAGACCTATGGAGTGTATGAAGGCAAGAGAAGCCATGATGAGAGACAGAAAGGACTGCTTCCATGATTTCGAGCCCAAGCTGCTTCAAGGCTGGAGCTGCTGAGCACAAAGAGATTGCATCTGAGCCTTTCTCTGTCACTTAGGAGCCAGTTGATGGTCTTGTGCAAAAGCCACTTGGCACCATGGTAATAATGGTGGGTGGCTCTGGGTAGAGGATAGATTGAATAAGGAAAAACTAGTTTCTAAATTTGTTTGAGTTGGTGCTTTGGGCAGGTTTTTAGTACATATTTTAAAAAATACATAAATAAAGATCTTTTCAACAAACACAAAAGACATTTGACAGAATTTAATACCCATTCATGATTTTTAAAAATATTCAGCAGTTCACTGGATATCTTTTGCAAAAGGTAAGAAATAAAAATAAAAGGCATAAAGGTCTGAAAAGAAGTAAAACAGTCTCTATTTGCAAATGATATTTTTATTATTTATATAGAAAAGCCTAAGGTATCTTCAACTATTAGTACTAATAAGGTAATTTAGCAATTTATTATATAAAAGTCCATTGTATTTTTATGCTAGCAGCAAATGCAGCACTCTTTACAATAGCCAAGAGTTGGAACCAGCCCAAATGTCTATCATCAGTTGAGTGCATATGGAAAATGTGGTATATCTACACAATGGAACACTACTCAGCTATAAAAAAAGAATGAAATACTGCCATTTGCAACAACATGGGTGAACCTAGAGAGAATTATATTAAGTGAAACAAGTCATGCACAGACAGAGAAATATCACATGTTCTCACTTATTTGTAGGAGCTAAAAAATAAGTAAATAAATACACACACATACAAAAAAAACCTGGGGGGGTTGGTAAGAAGACATAACAATTGCAATTCCTTGAAGTTGATATGACAAGTGAACAGAAAGGACATTGTTGGGAGGGAGGGGGGAGAGGAACAAGGGAGGGAGGTTTCGGTAATTGGCCACAATAATCGACCACATTGTATCGACAAAATAAAATTTTAAAAAAGTAAATAAATAAAAGCTCTTGAAAATTAAAAAAAAAAGTTTTAAACTTCCATTTACTATAGTATCAAAAACCATCAAATACACTGAATCTTCTGAGTACATTTAACAAAATATATCCCAAACATGTCTGCTAAAACTGCAAAATAATTCTGTAGAAATTAAAGAATAGCTAAATAAATGTATGGGCTATACCATGTTTCTAAATGAAAGAGAATTAGCAAGATATCAATTCTCCACAAATAGATCTATAGATTCAATGCCATCCCAATTGTAACATCAGTAGGGTTGTTTTTTGTTTGGGCTTTTTTTTCTAGAATTTGACTAATTATAAAATTTATATGGAAATGCAAAGGATCTAGACTAATCTTACTACACACATGAAACAAAGTTGGAGGACTTAAAATAAGTGATTTCAAGAATTACTGTCAAGACAGCGTGATGTGGGGTAGAGATCAACAGTACACAATGAGACAGAACAGAGAGCACAGACACAGGGGCCCACTTTCCTGATCATTTCATTTTCAACAAATGTAAATGCTAAAGCAACCCAATGAGGAAAGGAAGTTCTTTTCAACAGGTGATACTAGAACAACTAGATATCCATATGGAGAAAAAAGAAAGTTGAACCTCTCACATGATTCACAAAAATCTATTCAAAGTGGATTATAGAGTTAACTATAAAACTCCAAACCCCAAGGCTTTTAAAAGAAAACAGAATAGCTTTGGAGCTAGGAGTAGGCAGATATTTCTTAGGAACAAAAAGCAACACTTATGCAAAATTGATAAATTAGACTTTGATAAAATTTAAAACTACTGCTTATCCAAAGAGACCATTAAGAAATCAAATGAGCCAACCACGGATTAGGAAAAATATATATTTGTAAAGCCTATGTTTGACAAAGGACTGATACCCAGGATACCTAAAGAATTCATTAATAAAGAGTCAAGCAACCCAATTTTTAAAATGGACATAATGACTTGAACACACCCTTCACAAAAAGATAAACAAAGGGTCAATGTGCACACGAAAAAATGTTCAACATCATGAGTCATTAGGGAAATGCAAATTAAAGTCAATGAAATACCTACCAGAATATCAGAACTAAAAGACTGATTATTACAAGTGTGGAAGAACCTTACAAAAAGGTCCAGCAGTTTCTTATCAAACTCATCATACAACTGCCCTCTGAGTCAGCAATTCTATTTACCCCACAGGAGATGTATGTCTGCAAAAACACTTGTATAAGGATGTTCATAGCGGTTTTATTTGTAATATCCAAAAGCTAGGAACATTGCAGGTACCCCTTGATAGGAGAATAAACTGCGGTATATTCATACATTGCAACATTACTCAGTAATGAAAAGAAATAAACGGATATAGGAAACAACATACAT